AAAAAATGAAATTAAAAAGTTTCTTGAAACAAATGACAATGAAAACACCACTTACCAAAACCTCTGGGAAACAGCCAAAGCAGTAATAAGAGGTCAATTTATAGCAATAAGCAAACATATCAAAAGGCAGGAAAAAATGACCACTGACTCCCTAACCCAGCATCTCCAACAGAATGAAAAATAACAGGAAGAAAACTCAACACTCTCTAAAAAAACTGAAGTTATAAAAATTAGAGGAGAAACAAATGAAATAGAAAACTGAAAAACAATTAAAACCACCAACAAAACAAGAAGCTGTTCCTTTGAAAAGGTCAATAAAATTGACAAACCATTACCAAAACTGACAAAGAAAAAGAAGGAAAAGACACAAATAATCCAAATAAGAGATGAAATGGGCAATGTCCCAACAGAACCAACTAAAATAAAAAGGCTAACATTGGAATACTACGAAAAATTGTACTCAAACAAATATGAAAACCTAGAGGAAATGGACAAATACTTAGAAACGCACAACCTACCTAAACTGACACCAATCGAAACTGAACACCTGAACAGATCCATTACAGAGGAAGAAACTGAAAAGGTAATAAAACAACTTCCAGCCCAAAAAACTCCTGGACAAGATGGCTTTACAAGTGAATTTTATCAAACATTCAGAGAAGAACTGTCACCAATTCTACATAAACTATTTTAGAAAACAGAAAAAGATGGACTTCTCCCAGACTCATTTTATGAAGCAAACATATCCTTTATTCCAAAGCCAGGTAAAGACACCACCAAAATAGAAAACTATAGGCCAATATCTCTAATAAACATAGATGTAAAGATCTTGAATAAAATCCTGGCCAATAGAATCCAATGATATATATATAAATAAGATTCACCATGACCAAGTGGGATTCTTAACAGGATCGTTCATCATAAGAAAAACAATCAATGTCATTCATCACATTAACAAAGCAAAGAACAAGAGCCACATGATCCTATCAGTTGATGCAGAAAAGGCCTTTGACAAAATCCAACACCCTTTCCTGATTAAAACACTCAACAAAATAGAATTAGAAGGGAATTGCTTCAACATAGTAAAAAGTATATATGCAAATCCAAGAGTCAACATTTTTCTCAAAGGAGAGAGATTAAAGGCATTCTCCTTGAAAACAGGAACTAGGCAAAGGATATTCACTATCACCTCTCCTATTCAATATTGTATTGGAAGTCTTAGTGATAACAATAAGGCAAGAGAAGGAAATAAGAGGTATCCAAATTGGCAAAGAGGAAGTAAAATTATCTTTCTATACAGATATGATAGTATACTTAGAAAACCCTAAAGACTCAGGAAGAAAACTACTGGACATAGTTGACCAATTCAGCAAAGTGGCAGGATACAAGATCAACATTCAAAAATCAACTGGATTTCTCTATAGTGACAAAGAGAA